AAATTATTAATTGATACCATATTTATCTATATAACATGTAAAACTGTTACTTAAGCAAATAAGTTTTTACTGGTTTTCCTGGTTGTTATTTCTCTGTTATAAATTCCAACCAGTATAATTATGGGTATAAGATAAGAATGTTACCGTTCAGTCGTCTTTGCTGAAAGAAAAGAGTTTTTTTTTTTTTTTTTTTTTTTAAAGATTTTGAGGTCTGAAGGGCAAGTATGATTTAAAACAACACGAACTGGCTGATGGCAACAGGCAACTTTATAACTCCACCTTTTCTTTCACAAGAATGAACGATGTAGTGAGAAACGGATTTTAGGAAGCTGGGTTTTGCTTTTTTTAGTAGTGAGCATTTTAGCAGTAGAGGTCAAGCAAAACATATATTTTTCCCATAGTAAGAACTTTCCTAGGCTTGTGAAATGGAAAATTGTGGAGAAAGATTTTTTTTAAACTATTTTTCTAAAGAATAACAAGAGAAATTGTAACAGCATGCATGTAACCAAACCGGAAGAGGAATGCAGTTTAGAACTGGAATGCAGCTTGAAACATCTTCTTCCGTTGTTTTTAAAATGTGGAATCACTGACAGGAATGTGTTTTGTAAGTTATACAACTAAAAAAGCAGCCTTCAAGATACCCAGTTTTGAAATTATTGCAATAATTAGCATATACATTTAATAGCTGACATCTTAGTAGGAAAAAAATCATCCCACACAGTATCAATACCCATAGTTACACTAGCACCAATTTGAAATCATAAGAAATTTTTGTATGAGAAAAGTCCATTTAAAGAGTGGTTTGAATGGTGATAACTTCCAAAACCTGGGCTAATCTTGAATTACTGGGAAGAAGAGAGGAAATTTGGAAACTTGGGTCAGAATAATTAACTGCCCTCTTCTTTTGGCCGTAGTGCTACAAAGATTCAGTAACGCTGGGCTGTTTACCCAGAGGTGCTTTGCTTTTACATACTTATGGATGGGGGGAATCATTAAAGTGATTTAGGCTACCCGCACTGGTGTTAGCTTATTGTCCAATGCTTGGCTTAGTAATGCCACCTGTTCCACTTAATTAAATTAAAAAAGAAAAACAACCAACAGAAACATACAGCTAAATGAAAAGCACCTTTGCATTTCTGACAGAAAACTGAAAAAGCAAAAACTATATTCATAGGTGAAATATAGCACAGGCTACAAGGCAATCAGGACAGTTAAGACCTTTTTCCTTGCTGTGCTCAGTTCAGACTACCCAAGTTGGAATCAGTTGTGGGAGCACTTTGGGTGGCTTGCTTTAAGTGGGGTGCGACAACATTGCTTTACCTGTTCAACCATTAGGATCTTGGGCTTTCCCTGCTCCTGCAGTTTCACTGCACAGAATCCTACATGCAAACAAATCAAGCCAAACAACTCAAGCAGAAGAAGAAATGCCTTCAAGTGCCTGCCTACCTCCTACCCTCTAAGCAAATTTGTGCAGCTTTAGTAGTTTTTATGATGCTGTATTTGTTGCGACATTAAAACCACGTGCAGTGCCATCTCCACACTCTGGCACGAAAACACTGTTGTGTGCTAGCAGGGCTGCCTTGTGCTGCCGTCGGTGTCCGCAGAAACGGAGCAAGTCCCTTGCCTGGACTCTTGAAGCCCAGTGCTTTCTCTTGCCCTTGGCACCATGGGGAACCAAAAAGTAACTCTCCCAAAACCAAATTTCATCCTAATGCACACTTGTCATTCACGATCTACATACAAAATAAACATGCAAACACCCTCCCCCTCCAAATGGCTATTTCCTACATAACGTGACTGTGTTCTCATGAGGACTGTAAGCTAA